ATGATGAACAAACGGTTGATGGCGAGTGTCGGCGCGTCGTCGACGATGAACCACTTCTTCCACACCCGTGTCAGTTCCTCCCATGTGATTACGTCCTTCAAGTCTGGTACATCGACGCCGTGGGAGGTTGCCAGGTGGCTCAACCAGGTCTGGCATCCGCCCTTTGAGTTCAGGAACAGGGCGCCGATGTACGCATGCTTGGCTACGGGCAGAATCCTGAGTTGCGTTGTGAATGCTTCCCGCCAGAGGACCGGATCCTGCTGCGTGTAGTCGTCGAACCTCTCCAGATTGAAGGTTGGCATCTTATACATCTTCGGATTGCCATCCCCGTTCGTCGTCTGCAGCTGCTGGACCTCGGTCTTCAATGTATGCAGCTGACTGCTGATGGTGGTGGTCGGCGCAGCGAAGGTGCTGATGTCGCCGAGCATTGCCACTACGTGGTCAACGCGGTCCTCCAGTTGGCGGCTCGAGGGTGCACTGCTGGAAGCCCCAGCAGTTGGTCCTCGTACAGCCTGTTCCAGGTCCAGCAGTCGGGCATTGAGTGCCCGGGTTGCATCCTCGTGACTCTGCACCATGCGGCGGAGCTGTGCCAACTCCTGATGCTGTTGCGTCAGGTCCTGGTACTGTCTCTCCAACTCTGACCGTTGGTAGTTGCAAGCATACAACAACCGCGTCACGAGTTTGGAGAGGAACTCCTTGTGCTTCTCTTCTGGTGTTGCCTCGTCGCCGTTTGGTTCAAAGTGCCAGAACTTGAGTCTGTCGGTGCTTGTGGCTTCATGCCGTTGTAGCAGATCCTGGGCTTCCTTGCGGCGAGCCTGGGAGTCTGCATCTGCATCGGCCTGTAGTCGCAGCTTCTCTGCTGCTGCTGCCTCTTCAGCCTGTACGCGGGCAGCCTCGGCTGCCAGCTGGCGTTGTTCCTCAGCCTCGATCTGAGCCAGGCAACGCTGCTTGTAGGCGGCAATGGACTCGTTGGGCAGTTGCCCTGGCAGGCCCATCATGTTGCTGACGTGGCACTGCTGACGTGGCACTTTGTCTGACGTGGCACTGTGTCYGACGTGGCACTGCTGATGTGGCACTGTGTCTGACGTGGCACTGCTGATGTGGCACTGCTTACGTGGCACTGTGTCTGACGTGGCACTGCTAATCTGGCACTGTGGCGTGGCACTGCTGACGTGGCACTGCTGACATGGCACTGCTGACGTGGCACTGCTGATCTGGCACTGTGACGTGGCACTGTGACCTGGCACTGTGACGTGGCACTGCGGACGTGGCACTGCTGATCTGGCTCTGTGACGTGGCGCTGCTGACGTGGCGCTGCTGACGTGGCGCTGCTGACGTGGCACTGTACCGAACCGGGATGCATGCAAGGGGTGGGTGGGAGGGAAAACGTAGGTAGGTAACCAACCCAACAATACTTTCCTCCGGCCCTAATCAACAGATAAAAWAAAARAAWAAAAAATAAAAGAGGACTACTTCCTTTTTTTTTTTCTTTTTTTTTGTATATATCTGTCGATTTATGATGGGTAGGATATGTCAGAAGAGTATTATGAACGAGATCTAGGCTAGGTGCCGCAAAGTTTTGGCTACAAACTGCGATCTTGAACAAATTTTTTTTGCGAAATGGAGTAAAAGATGCGACTTTCAGAAAAGAACGAAATCCAGTTTCTGAGAATATAGCAACCTCCGAATATGCCTAACTCAATATTGGTAGGCTTCGCAAGATTCGGTTTTCAAAAAAATTTTGCGAGATAGAATGGAAATGCGATTTTCAGAAAAGAATAATTTCAGTTTCCGAGAATATGACCACTTCTATCGTTATCCAATATGCCTAGAGAACGAAACTACTAACTTCAGAAATTTTAGCTATGTATGCGAAATATCAGAGAAACGAATTGCTACTATCGGGAATTTTCAG